CAGCTTGGAGTAAGACAACATGCATGAAGAGGATGATGTGGACAAAATACTCATTTGCCTAATAATTCTGCACTCCCTGTATAAATGGCCCACCCTGTAGTTCTTAACTAGTTCCAAAACTGTCCTGTGGTTCTAGTGCACACATGTGCATGCTGTTGTAAAATACGACCTCTGTCTGCATCCCACAATGACCTAATACCAAACATCTTCAATCATACTAAAAGCGATTCTTCAAAGGGGATTTGTGTCTCCAGCTGGAATTGCACCAGCAACCAAATGAGCATGTGAACCACAACACATCTTTCATGAAAATAAAAATATTTGGCGTGGGAGCCCTAGCACAGTACAGAATGACTGAAAATCGCTGGTTTTTACTCTCACCATTAGTAAACCATATAGAAATATATTGGTGCACACTCTATGGAGATCTGACTTGTTTTGCTTGCCACAAAACTGATATATTATCACTTAAAGTTTATATGGTGAGTTTATTAGCAAGGAGATGCCATTTTACAAATGCAGCAGACTGGAAGAAACATCTGTTTAGAAACACAATATCGACTTCATTAGTTCCACCAACAGAGATATATCCGCCTGTTTTATTGAAATTTTCTACGCTACATTCACAAGACTGGTGGTAATTGGTGCTTGGTCGGCAGGAGTTGGTCTACCATGGTTTTCTTTCTTGTTTTTTTTTCTCTGAACCACAGTTGGGGATTGTGCTGATGAGCAAGGGAGACTGTTTAAAAACGGCAATGATCGTGCAATCAACTCAAAACAGTTAACTTAAAGACTGGAGTGGTGCGTTTGACACCAGGAGGATCACCTTCCACATTACATGAAACCATTTCATCCTTTCTTTTTGTAAAAATATCACTTTTTAAACCAAAATTGAATTCAAATGGCTCTTAAATGAGCTCAGTTGTTAGAACAGTCACCCCAAGTGACAAGGATTAATTGCTGCTTTCCTTTCTGTGTGCTGAGCCGACCTATTCTATTCCCATGGCGTCAAATACTGCCATTTCGTCAATGCCACCGGTGTCTCAGAGATGGGCACAAAGTGTCCTCTGGTGTATGTGCCAAGCCTCCCAAGACGTGCAACCAGCAGGCAGCGGTTTGTGTCCTGCTTGAAAGCTTTGTTTGATTTACATGTTTTATTTTCAGTCGCTTTTTGGTTGCATTTATTTACATCATGAAAAATAAAACACCAAGGGCTCCTGACCACGCGTCTGTATGTGACATGCGCTTGAGCCAACTGCATATGCACCAAGGTCCTTAAAAAGAAGAGGCAGGAGGTAAAGACAACCAGCAAACCCTGGATAGTGTGGGGGAGGCGCTGAGAATTTGAAGATGGAGCAAAAAGGAGCTGGTTGTTAATTAGCTAAACTCTGCACGACTCCTTAAGTCGGCAGAGGTCAGAGCACAGAGCACCATCCAAGGAAAAAGCACTCCAGGGGTCCTCTGCCTTTCTCTTGGATTTTGTTTTTTTTTTTGGTATTGCAGATGATCAAATGTTGGCTCACATCAGCACAAATCTCAAATACTGTCACTACCCCTTCCTTTGATGCGTTTGAAGCCAAAGGCCAAGATGAAATTATTTATTTTTCACAGTGAGAGAAAGAAGATCACACTGAAGAAATGAGTTTGAGTATATTTATAGATTATAGACAAAGAATAAATTAGATGGCGTGTGAGTACAGTTCCTCTGGCCGTGGTCACGGCTGCTCTCACAGACTGAATAGAAAAGATGGCCTGATCAACACAGAGAGCACCTATTTGGTTGTGATGCTTCAACACCAACAATGCTACAAGTCCACACTGGTCAGTATGTGGCTGCCATACACAACAAATGTACGTTACAGTAGCTTTAGATGGTGAGAACAAAGATATCTGTTTTGACTTTTTTCTCAAAAAGATCAATAATATTTTTCTCAATGTGGCTCTAATACTGCTTCATATAGGATAATACGCTGACTGATTTTTTTTTTTTTTTAATTGAATGACCCAGGTGACACTTCCATCAGTGCTGTGCTGGTGTCAGTTTTACCTTGGTCTCTGTTTGCGAACAAGCCCACATTTTGACATAGCATCATGAAGTTTTCATAGTAGGAAAATCATGGCAGAATCTTGGGACTGCATCTCTAAACCATTAGTTATACGCTGTCCCATTGCCTCTGATGGCAGTGGTTCCACCTTTGGGCCCTTGGTACCTTTGACACCTTTGTGGTTTTTGTGTGCGGTGCTAGCATTGGCTATTCTGCACCTGCACCTTTCTTTTTTTTTTGGTGGAACTGCAGGAAGCAGGTTATAGATTAGTCAGGTGGACCAACACCTCAATAATAATAAAAAAAGATTTGAACATTAGTTAAGTTGCTGCACAAAATTATTTACCGACCTAATGTCTGTTCTATGAGAGGACTAAATACAGACGTTTAAATCTTTGTCAGTAGGGTAAAGCAGCAGGCACTGAGTGTCATACTACAGGTTAAGGAACCTTTTGTCTCATTTTAATCACACCTGACGGTCACACATATTGTTTTTAGGAAATGAACAGTCAGCCAGGATGGATTTCTACTCATTTTTGAACTGTACTGGTCCTTTTTTTTATTATAGACTTCACGCAAAACATGCCCATCTGCTCTAAACAGCTGGTTATGCCAAATGGTGCGAATACTCAATGTGAATTTTAAATTGTTGGTTATAAATACAGCATATTAATAAAAAGGAAAGTGTTCTCATAATTCCCACGACACCACTATAAAAGTTCAGCACGTTTGTTGGCGTGTAACGGCCGGTGAGTGATCATTTTGAGGTTGGGTTTGACTGCTTTTACATGGAGTCATTACCTTTTGTTTTCCTCATTAATACCACAGGTGCAATTTGCTATAGTAGGTGTTCTCCTAATGTTTCAAATCATAAATGCTCTCATAGGAAAAAAACACAAAGAAAAACAGTAAAAAAAATTAATGTATGAAGTTTTATTGCATTTGAAATACTTGAAAAATGATCAGGTATGTGTTAATCATCTTCTCAAATAGTCCTTTTACATTACAAATGAGCTGACAGCGGAGTTTCAGCACAGCCACACGTCAGAGATTATCTGCGAGTTAATCATGTGTAGGATCTTGCTGTGATGTTACAGGCTTTGTCAGCACAAAAGCTTGTGATGAAGGGAGTACAGATTCGAGGACATCTCTGCCTCCGTTTGATGTGCATAACTTAAAGAACTGTTAAAGGATTTAAAACATTTTTTGTTTCGTCTTTTTCTTCCTTTATCAGCCACCTGCAGAACTGGCTCTTGATCATGCCTTGGTCATCATTTTTTCAAGGTTGAGGCAGACTGTTAATGACTGTGCGCACCACATCGTTTTAAGGAATGTAAAGCAAGCAAGGGACGCATCGTGGGCAGTGATGCTGTTTATGACTTCTGGTCAGACAAAGAGCTCGTGCTTTAAAAATGAGCATGTTGAACATTTAACGTGTCTCTTTTAGTTCTGTGAGTCAGAACGGGATTAAACCACTAGGTGGGACTGTTTACTTTGATAAAATGCCCGACTACTGCTTTGACATGACTGCTGGTGTATTTCAACCGTCCATTCCCACAATCCAGTGCAGACAGTGAGTGTTTTCTGTGTAAGCGTAATCTCATATGCATGAGTAAATTTGTTAGTGCAAATGTGTTACTGTGTCTCTCTTTTATAAGTCGTCTACAAGCTGTAATAATCATTTAACTAAAGCAGCAGTTCCTTACAGTTGGGGTGAAATCACCACAGGAAAAAGTGTTTGCTTCTAAAAGCATTAAACTTATGACTTTATCAACCTGATGAATGAAGTTTTATGGCTTTTGCTGGTTTGCAGCATTAACCTCGGGGGTAAAAGCTAAAAGTTTGGGGTCCGTTATAATGCAGGGAACATTCCTCGTTAGATTTACTTTCATATTGCTCAGTTTGTTTCATCTAAGGGTTCCCTGTAATTGTAGCTAATTTAGGTCTTTGTGTACGCACTGATTTGGCAAACACTAATCTGTTTCAATTTGATTTTATGAATAAAACCACAGGTTTCGTAACTTGAGCGTGTTGGAATACTTAACATCTAACATTTCTAAATATACTGTAATAAGCATGTGGCCAGATTCAGCCTTGTTTGAGTTGCTGTCAGTCTGCACACACATGGAAAACTTTTTATCACAGCATTTTTGATTGAGCTCATAATTAGGGTTTTACATCTTTGTGTATTAAGCTTGCCTTTTTTTCTATCTGCACTGCTGCTTACATGTAATTTTTCATATGCATTGTGCGATCATGTTTATCTTGAGCGGCAGTTGGGCCTAAAATCAAGCTCATCCTTCCTCAGTCTGGATTTATTCATCTCTAAGATTGCCTCTCAACCTTTGAAGCTACACTGTGCTGTAGGACAGAGAAAAGGCTGGCGAAGGAGGGAGGACGTGAGGGGAATGTGAGGGCGGCTGAACTTGGAGACGAAGTGCTCTGCTGGTTTTCAGAATGTGCAGCTTCAGTTCGGAACAGAGGTGAAGTCAGGACTTTGAAATGTGTGAGGCTGAGGTAATTTGGTCGGAGCTGGTGTCGCGTTGGCCTGAAGTGAAACCTTTAGTTTTGGCGTGTACCTCTCTGCAGCCTGTTCGCTTCCCTCTAACTTTCTCAATGGAGGGGATGCCAACTGAACACCTGCACATGGCATGAGAAACGTGTCTGATCTTCATGACGTATGCAGGGCCCCGGCAAGACCAGGAAACGACTCCCTCCTTTTTGGTCGGAAGAGTGATGTCATCGCAGGGAGAGCGTGAGGTTGGCTGCGGCTTTATTGAGCTTGGCATTTTATTACCAAGAGTACCAGACGTGTGACCACATGCACCAGTCCATGCGGGGACACAGACCTGGGAAGCTGAGAGCTTGATATCATGGCATTTGTGAACCGATATAAAGCCCTTTCAGAGGGAAAAGGAGAGTGAAGCAAAACCATAAAACAGAGAAACGCAGACAGATACCCAGAGGGGAAGAGGGACAGCATGAGTGTGAATGCTGATGGGGATAGCAACGCGTGGAGCAACAGAGCTGCAGAATCCTGAATCCAGCAGATGGAGACTCCGTGTCCTTGTTTTGTGGTGATCTGTGGAAGCAACATGCAGCTCGCGCCTCTGCCTCGCACTGCTGCAGTGGAGGAGTAAATGCGGAGCCCAGCACTGCTCCAGGTGATCCACAGCAGCCCAGCCCGGCAGACTGCTCCCTCCTCAGCCTTCCCTCTCCTCCTCCTTTTCCTCCTTCTCCTTTTCCACCTCCTCATCCTCTTCCTCCTCCACCACCTCCTCTTTTTCCTCCTCCTCCTCCTCTTCTTCCTCCTATGTCACTGCTCCATTCCTCTGAGGGCTTTGGAAAGAGATAAGAAAGGATCAGAAAAGCAGAGGAGAAATCCTGCTGTCCCCCCCTCTGTTCTCAGATGTGACACACCTCTGCCCGACTGTCCGCCGCTTCCCTGTCATCGTGTGAAGACGCGCCGCATATGTGCTCAAATGTCTCCGGAACATAGACTCACTACTAGGTAAGAAGACTGAGACTCATCCAGAGAAATGTTTCTTGCCCACTGTTTTCCTTTTGGGTTTTTTTGTTTTGCTTTTTCTCGAGACGTTTTCTGTGGAACTGTTCCAGCCCCGAGTGAGAGTGTGAATTTAACAGGTAGATGAGAAGTTATCACATCAGATCGGACAGAAAAGAAATCAAACGAGGCTCTCAAAGACAAATACATTTGTCTTCAGGTTTTAGGAAAAGCACCTCTTCCCCTCAGCAGTCACAGGGATCCATGCAGGTGTGTGTGCATTCATATATGTGTGTGTGTGTGTGTGTGTGTGACAGAATCCAACAGGGTGGCAGGGATTGCTCTTCAACCAGAGCCTTCTCGATGGGTAACAGGGGGATTATCATCTTTACAGTGTGGCCAAAAAGCTTTCTATCGATCTCCTTATGGCCACAAATGTCAGTAGAATCTGTGGCTTCAGCATAACTGACAGACTGTCTTTTTCAGTGGTACCAATAGTTGATCATTATGTAATCATTTTTATGGATACAGTTTGGCGATAGAGAGGAAAAAAATCTCGTCATTTTCTGCATGTCTTAATCCCCCGTTTTTCATGGATGGGGATGAATTTCAGATGAAGAAAGCACTGAAAGGGGGAATTGGGGTACTGACAGGAGGGTGGAAGAGGACAGGAGGGGGGTGGAGGAGAATTTACTCCATCACTCTTTGATTTGGAAAAACTGCTGGCCAACAGCTGAATGGTGCAAGTCTTCAGTCTCTCAGTAACATGCTAGGTCTTACTCTGCAAAGCCCGAACCTGGAAGTGACCAAACAAGGCTTCATCGCATTCACCTTTCAAACACAGTGTCTTTGTAATATCATAATAAGAGATGGAGACCAGGTGATTCTGCAGCAATGTGTCCAAAACCTGCATTCTGCTGTGAGACAGAGCATCAGGACTCTGTGTGTGCGTGTCTGTGTGTTTGCGAGCTAAAACCTCTCACAGTGTCCTGCAGAAAACCTGTTTTGGATAAAAATACATGTGCATTTATTGCTAATTTATTTTTGGATGCAGAATCAAATCTTTCATCGCTGCATTTGGCACCATGAAACATCCTGTGCGGACATCTGTAGTCACACACATGTGCACAATCTGTACATATTATGTGCTCTCTCGCAATAAGCTCTCATTTCTCACACACTGTACACAGAGATAAACCTGTCGGCGCACTCCGACAGCTGTGCAGGATGAATCAGGTTGCTTTCTGGTGTAGCGAGGTGTCTGGCTGGCCGTTTGTCATGCGTGGCATTGGGAGGATCCCAAAGGAGCAGAGTCTGAGCTTCTCTCAGCTCCCAAGCGGCTTTTCCCCCTCCTTTTGATTCTCCAGGAGATACACTAGCATCCTGAAATGCTTCATTTAGCCATAATAAGAGTGTCAAGCTCCACCAGCAGCCCCCAGAGGCTATAATGTAAATTACACATGTGAATATGAAAGTCTTGGACAGTCTCTGCCAGTTACTTCTTGATGGTAGAAGGAGTACTTTGACATTTTGGTTAATGGTTTTTTGGCTCTTGGTTATGAGTAAGTAGAAGATTGATCACTATAATGTCTTAACAGCAAATGTACAGATGAAGCTCACAGTCTATTGGCTTAGCTGAGCATAAGGACTGGAACCAACACATAAAAACTGACTGTTCCCTGGGCTGGACATGTAATAGTTATACCGGCCTCCTGCCAATTTGTCCCAGCCTTTACGAACATCAGAAAATTTTCAGTTTCGTACATTAGCGGGCTTCACAGATGCTGTTAGGTTTACTTTGTTACTGCTGGACAGAGCCACACTAGAAGTTTTCTCATTTACTGCCTTTGCACTAAGCCAAAGTAACTAACTTCTCACTGTGGCGTTGGCATTTTAGATTGACCCTAGTGACATGAAAGTGAAAAAGTACTTTACCACAAAGTATGAAACTCAGGGTTTAGCACTCTGAGAGCATGGATGTGCTCACGAAATTTCTAATCCTGCTTGATAATGATACTGTTATGCAAGACTGAATTACAGATTCAGGTCAGGCGGTCAAAACATTAAAATTAATCCTATGTAGACCTCTTTTACAACTTTAGTCAGATTTCAAGGAAATTAAACTATTAAATGTGGAGATTCTTGAGTGTCATGTAGAATTTTGACTTTTGACCCAACAGCGTTGTTAAATCAGTTCTCATGTGATTACAAAAATGATTCGGAGTCTTTTTTGAAGACCAAAAATTTCCACGAATTTTGACATCGGGGGTTTTTGAGTTAGGAAACAAACACCTGGATGGGAAGACTGATTTTTCAATCATTTCAACCATAATCGGTTTAACAGTGCTCTTGACTGCTGACACCGGATGGTAATTCATATTTGGAGTGTTGAAACATCCTCTGAAGTCTCCTTTTTTTTTTTTTTGTATTGCAAAGGCTTTTTGTAGCCTGGAAAGATTTTTTTTTTTTTTCTAAATTCTTGATTTAGGAGTTTTCTCCTACTCTTCTCTGCAGAGCACTTTCAGTTCTGAGCTATTTTAGGCTGTCTTGCAGGCACAATATGTTTAAGATTTACCCACACAGTTTTAATGGTGTTCAGATCAGGGGAACTGTGAGGGCTTTTCCAAAAGCTTCAGTTTGCTCTGCTCCATGATGGATTTTAGATGGACATTTTCACGTCTCTTTCTCTTTCAGCCACGGTTTCTTGGCCGACTGCACGACATTTGGATCCAGAATTTGTCAATATTTATTCTTCTTCTATACATGTAATGTTTCCAGTTCACCTGGTTTCCACACGTGTTACAGCTGACATGATATTCTTTTACTTCAAAGAATTTTGAATTCAAAATTCGTTTTGACTTGTTTTAAATGGGACCATCCAGAGCTTGCTTTGTGCAGAAGAAGACAATGGGGAGCAAAGGTTTCATGTAGGCCAGGGATGTCGAGTTCTATTTCAGTAAAGGTCAAATTTGGGAAAAGGGGATTTCCCAATGTCAGATGATGTCAGATGTGGTGAGTTTAAGGGCCAGATATACAGCCAAGTGAAAAGGGAATTTTTTCTTAGCACTCTGTGCAGTTCTGTGAAAAACTAACTACATTCCGTAGCTTGTAGAATCACTTTTAGGAACAATAATGTAAAGTAATTGTTTTCTCTACGATTTTATCAGTCTCTCCCATCGAATTTAGGCCCACTCTTCTATACAGCATTACCTCAGTTCATTGAGGTTTGGGGGCATTTGTCTGGACTTTGTCTGCACCATTGCAGCACCTTCATTCGTTACTTTTTCAACCATTCTGCTGGAGATCTGCTGCTGTGCTTGGGATTGCTGTCCCGTTGCATGACCCAGTTCCAAACAAGTTTTAGCTGGCAGACGGACAGGGGTCACGTTTTGCTCTAGAATACTTCGGTACAGAGAGGAATTCATGGTTGACTCAAAAACAAGTTGCTCAGGTCCAGCAGCTGCAAAACAAGCCGAAATGATCACCTCCTCAGCACCTTTTCTCTTGACAGTTGCAATGAGGTATTTGTGCTGATATGCTGCACTTGATTTTCTCCAAACTAAGCATTGTGCACTATTGCCAGACAGCTCATGTTTGGTCTTGTCTGTCCAAAAGGACATTGTTCCAGAAGTCTTGGAATTTTATATAACTTTGCAAACTTAAATCTAACTGTCATGTTCTTTTTAGAAAGAACATGTTAGCATTCTTACATTCATTTTGGTCCACATAAATAATTCAACAAGTCACCTAGCCATCATAAGACCTAGACAAAAAACGAACTACAGTCATAGTTTTACTGGTAGGCTGAATGTCGACTATTGGCAGTATGAGGAAATTTAAAATGCACGATAAAGCATTAATACATAAAGGCAAAGTGATAAATCTTTCATCTTGTTCTTGCATTAATTTTTGAAAGTGTCACTGAATGTGTTTTACAGTCCTGAACATGACAAGTCAGTGTTTGTGTGAGGCAAAAAGTAAAAAAGCTTTGATCGTGTAGTTTAGTACACAGTCTAGCCTTCTGGTGTAAAATCTGATCAACAAAATCTATGAACAAAAAAAAGCTGTTATTTGTTTTTGGGTTTTTTTGGAACCTGTCCTCTGTTTTGCCAACGTGACTTTTCATCTTCATCACTTTAAGGGTTGGCTCATACGTCTTTTTTTTTTTTTGTAATGTAGCTGCATGCTGCTTATCAGTTCAGCGATTTTCAGTCTCTGTCTCTGCTGCTGTGTGGCTTCAAAATGATGATGCAAAGTATGTGAAATTGCTTCACGGTAAATGGATGCATTGGCCTTTCTTGCCTCTTCTTATACTCAGTGAAGAAGTAGTAAGTTTAACACCTCTAGTTGATACTGCCTTCAGGATCAACATACTTCTTTTTCTGCCAAGTTTAGGCTCAGATACACATAACTGTTTAGTTTGGTGTATGCACAGGTTGTGTGGCTCTATACGAATTTGTCGAGGACTGGATTTAGCTCTGACCCTTGAGTTAGACACATAATGGTAGTTTGGACAGTGCAAATGACATGTTTTTATTGCCTTTCTCTGTTTTATACCAATCATTCCTTAGTAAATTCAAAAGAAGAGCCCATGGTTGCTGAGTCAGATGATTTATCAGCTCTCAGTCATCATCAGGTGACAATTATTCTGCTTCCAATTAAAAATCAATTAAGACTTAATGAGCTAATAAGTCGTGAGACTCCACTTTTTCTCCAACTTTTGCAGCTATCACAATAAAGTTTTATTTTTCTGTTTGTTTAACAAAGTTTAACAAACAAAAACTGCACGTCAAAAATTCATTTTTAAATTGTGTTTGGGTGCTGCGATTGCTCTTCAGTAAATTTCCCAAGTTGTGCCAAAAATATTGCGCACAACTGAATGGCTAATTTGTTTATCTACCCTCTTAGCTAGATGCACAGATCATGTTTTGTTTTTGGATTAAGCCGCAGTACATCTGGCAGTTGATGGTATCTTTTCTCTCGGTTTTGCTGCGGAGGTTTGGAGG